CCCCCCCGAAAAAGAAGTCACGTGCAGATTTTGAGCGCACAGGACCACTGAACTCCACTATTTCAAGATGGTGTTTAGTATAAACAATGAAATCATTGCAATGTAATTCAATATTACCCTTGAGTGTGGTAGACTTTATAAGTTTTAATAAAATAAAGAATTAAGAGAATAGAGAATTAAGACAAAATTCGTTTTCATTATATGTTTTCAAGCACAATGCTAATATGCTGTTTTCAATTGAAATACATCTCTACACACTACTTACTGCAGTACCATCCCTTTTTGAAAGGCCACTTATACCAGCAGTGACTGCTTTTAAAATTCACATTGATGTTACTATTACTTTAAAATGTATTAATGTAAATTTCCCACCATCCTCTCATTAAAAACTAAAATATCTAGTAAAATATAGAGCTAAATAACACCATTAAAAATTGAAAACAGACTAGACAAGTATACTAGGAAAGGCAGTAAAACTTCAGAAGGACTGAAACAAGTGTCAGAAACACAGTAACAGCTAGTAAATATATTTAATCAATATAAGCAATAGAAATTCAAATTAAAGTTTTTATAGCACACAAATATATATGTACATGAAGCATAATATTAATGTACATCCACCTCCAAAGAATATCACTGCTGAAAAATCTTATTTTAAACACATGACATAAGGGAGCGCATATTAAAACAGGAAAAAAACCCAAAGCAATTCCATATACATTTTATTTTAAAGTATCACTATATATCAATTTTTTTTTTAACTAAAATTATCTATACTTAATACAGTCTCAAATACTAGCAGCTAATCATGACCATCAACTTAAAAGTACAGCAAACAAATATAAAATAAAAAACTTGAGAGTACTTACCAAATTATGATTAGTTGAATTAGAATCATCTTCTGGGAATGGGATGTAAACAGCTAAGGCCACACAATTGGCAAAAATAGACAGTAGTATAAATATGTCAAATGGTCTGGAAAATTTTGTTAAGGAATTCATGAATTATGAGTATCTACAAACTTTTAAGTCTAGTTCTCCTTTCAGCATCAACACTTGTAAAACAAGTCTTACTTTTAAGGCAATCAGTTGACTGATAACTGTGACAAACACTTCATCACCTTTAGTTATATCATTATACCATATTATTTTCCATAACAGTGATCTTTCAACATCCTCTTCTTTTTGAAAAAAAGAGAAGACCATTACTCTTGCTGCCACAGAGCACTTCATATTAAATTCCAGAGATGAATATAATTACACACTCTTAAATCAATACATGGGTCACCATGATGGGTAAGGAACACTTATTGAGCTCTTCTGTCCTCATATGGTCCCATAAGTCTCATTAATGTTAACAGAAATGTGTTTGTCCAAACAGGAAAATCATTTGGGATCTAGTCCGTGGTAGGATATGAGAAAGAGTTGCAGCAAATCACAACTGTTCTCCTGTATGAGAGCTGGAAAGCTGTACAACAGACACAGGAAAATTCTGAGCTCCTCTTCATGTCCCTGACAGCTGGACTTCTGAACAATTTTGCTTTGGCCAGGACAGATGAATGTTTGGGTGAGTAGACTGAGCAATAGAAATCACTACCTGCTTGGCAGCCATGCATACTGAGAGGCTATAGGCTTTCGCACTGACAATAGCATGAACTGCAGCTGCACTTTTTATACCATATCTGGATGACAGCAGTTAAAACCTGGAGATACCTTTTGTCTTCCAGAAAGAAAAATACTTCTTAAAATTCATGCCTATGAAGTTCATCCTTCAGTTTATCGTTAATTTGCCTTTCCCCCAAAGTATCTCATTATTTTCTTGTAACTACAAACACAGAGGTACCCAGATGAACCTATTCATGGAAGTTTGGAAAGGGAGTATTTTGGGCTTTAGCTATGTTTTTTGACATCCTTTCCCCAATTCAATGCACAACTTCCTGATATGCGTCCATAAGAGTCCCATAAAAGACTGAGGGAAGAGTACTGAATATACTCAGAAGCATATTTTTGTCAGTTTAAAATATTTTTCCTGAAAAAAAACCTCCTACAAAGCCCATGTGCCCCTTAAGATCTGTTAAATTTTGTTGACCTACAAAAAGTTTGTCACCTCAAGGGCTGAGTTTATGTTCACAAAGCCTATCAACATCAATAAGTGCTGTGTTGTGTACAAAATAAAGTTACAACACACATCTTAACATGCAGCATTCTCCAGACCGAAATGAACAAATCATACCAGCGCAAGATTGACAACCTTGTTTTATGATGTAGTGCTACTGGGACAAATTCTGCCCTGAGTTATTCCACTCTAGATCCATAATAATTTCATTTAACTGACCTTAGCCAAGGAGAGGCCAATTTACTGAAATTAGTTGGACTTCTACCAGTTTAAATGAAAGCAGAATCTTTAATTTGCAATTGAATTATGTTCAAAGAATTGAAAAAAACAAGCCCTATAAATGAGCAACAGTTCCTATTGCCAGGTTGGCTGTTCTGTTTAAAGTAACAAAGTGAGTTTTACTTCAGTAATCTACTCTCTTGAACAGCTGTTCCCTATTACAGGAATGTTGCCATGGCTAATAGGCAAACATTTCTCTCCTCATACCTCAACAAAACTATTTTGTATTTCAAATCTTTTCTTGAGAATTAAATAATATACCAAATCAACATGCTATCAGTTCTGCCAAAGAAATCCACGTACTTCCACATCGCAATCGCTGAACTAAAGATAAAGCAATCCTTCCCAGCATACAGGTCATCATGAAGACAGGCCAGTATATCTGATCTCTTATCTACAGATGTAGATGCTTCCAAATATGTGTGGTGGTAGACATATGTTGTAAAAGTTCAGAAGATTAATATATTTCAGATACTTGTATGTACTTAGAGTGAGTCCTGGGCTTAACTAAGAAATCTTCCTTACTTTTAGTACTTGGAAAAATAATCTTTTTTAAAAGATTTCTACATCTGACTCATTTGCCCTGATGGCAATACACCAAATTGCAATATGGAAGATACAGGTTTGACATCTTAAGTCATCTCCCAATTAACACTGCTAGATGCACTCCTATCCATTCAACCTTATCTGGAAGGACAACAAATGCAATACAGAGATTTGCTGGAATGTAATGTAAGCTTGTAACTTTAAAAAGCTCTGAAAATGTTACCCCATTTCCTCCAAGAAAAAAGGAACAGCTATAAGCTCTTCTCCGACTTTGAACTACTTCAGTAAAATGATATTCTATGTCATTATGACATAAATTAAGAGGATATCTTTAACAGCAATTTAAGCAAAATTAACGACCATCAACATTAATGACAGTTACCCACACGTGCAAGCAAACTGTGTTAGCTGTGATGCTATGAGATGCTGTAAAACAATCCCCTTGATACATTCAGAAAACGCAAGGAACTGATGGTAAAAATGAAACTGCATCAAAGGATACTTCCATTCTACTAGACTAATGCAGGCTCTTCGTATTGGGTTGTTGAGGGATAAACAGAAAAGGGCACGGGGTGGCCGACTATTAGACGTATTACCCTGTTTTTTGCTCTTGGCATATTGCTGGCGTTTTCTTTGGGACAGAGATCCTACAGGCTGGGTTGTGGTGGTACTCATATTTTGGGCAGCCTTTGCTTGTCTAGCAGCATCAATTGCAGCTTGCCAAGATAGAACAGTTTGCTTGGATGGTGCTGAACTGTTTGACTGAATAGCTGGTCCGTCACCAGGGAGAGGAATTCTGGTGCTACTTGCATAGTTCGCCTCTGTGGGACAAAAGAAAAAAGTACTCGGTTATAATCTTTTATGCTAAAATATGTCACAATATTTCTGATAAAGATTATTTTAAGATCTCTGGGCAGTGTGATGCTTCCATTACATATACTATAGAGCACAACTGTATGCATATATATGTGATTGAACAGTAGCAAAAAATGCTCAGGAATCAGTATTATAACTTCAAGTTTAATCCAAGCGTCAAGACAAGTGCTGCGCAAACACCTCACGTTTTGATTCTTCCACTTACTGCGTTTTTTCCTAACTGGATGGCAGCTTTTCTGTCACCACAGTTATCCAATAAAACATAGCTATCCTTAAGATCAACTTTGCTGTAGTACCTTAGCATTTACTATTTTCTCACTTCATTTTGGTCAAAAAAGTAGTTGTTTAAAATACTTACACATTGTTCAATTAAGAATAACCAACACCATGGGGGGGGAGGGGGAAGTCCTGTAAGCAAGTTAAATCTTGCCCTGATCTGCATTTTCAAAGAAAAAATGCGTGGATGCCTCCCACAAGTGAAAAATCCAATATTGTCTGCTGATAAACATGTTCATAAAGCACTGGTATCTTTCACATTAGAAATTACAACCGTGAAACCACTGTAAAGGGATGGGGTTTGTTTTTGCTTTTTCACAACGATTTACAAAATAAACTGCACCTTCCAAATAATAATAAAGTCCTCTATCCAGATGACAGCAAAGAAGGCAAAACACCACCTCCTCGCAAGGATCTTTCCTCGCGAGCTCTTTGACTAGAGCAACAGAGTCTACTCCTACATGCACCTGTAGGAAGAAGAGACTCCTAAGTGAAATTCAAAACTTGAAGATGTCTGGGTGGGAAAAAAAATGGAGGAACGGCACCATATACGTGCTGGGAATTAGGGCTGGCAGGCGGGATGACTGTGAAACCGATCTACCCGGGCAGGAGAGAAAAATAGCTCCCCAGCGATCGCTGCTCGGCAAACAGAGGAGAGCCACAAAAAGCACCCCCCTCTTTTTCTAGACGGGGGGAAAACAGACAACGAGAAAGACGCGAGAGCCGCGAA